CAACTTGAAATTTTTACAACTTGGTAAAATTTTGAGTTTACAAGGGTCTTACACAAACCATGCCTAAATGCTTTCGGGGCAATCGTTTCTACACCCCACTTAACCCTTAAGTTTCCTTCTGATAATGGAAACATTTATACCGTCCAGGCGGATCAGAAAGTTGCTCGGGAGTGTTATATGGCAAAACTGAAGGTTGAACCTTCATCCTTAAGGCGAAAGGTCAGGCGATCGGAAGTAGCCATGGCGGACTTGGACCTAATAGAACCACTGAGAGAGACAAGACCTTTCAGTCTTGGGCGCAGGGAGGACCAACTATTGGAAGTGAATTAAAGGAGGAACAAGCCAGGTTGATAGGTGTCGAGCTGAAGAAAAACAAGGATCTGTTTGCTTGGACCGCGGTCGACATGCCAGGGATCCGCCCAAAGGTCATGTCACATAAGTTGGCTCTGTTCAAGGAAGCTCGCCCGGTGGTGCAGAAGAAGAGGAGGCTAGGGGAAGAGAAGAGGTTAGCCGTAGATGAGGAGGTGAAAAAACTCCTGAAGGGAAAATTCATTCGCGAAGTCAAATATACTACTTGGCTAACAAATGTTGTAATGGTGGAAAAGTCGAACGGGCAATGGAGAATGCGCACGGACTTCACGGATTTAAACAAGGCTTGTCCCAAGGATTATTACGCTCTATCGAGCATTGATGCTTTGGTAGACGGGGCGTCAGGGTTTCAAGTACTGAGTTTTCTAAATGTCTATTCGGGGTATAATAAAATTTCCATGTATCCTCAAAATAGCGATAAAACAGTCTTTATTGTTATGAGGTGATGTCGTTCAGTTTGAAGAATGCAGGGGTGACTTATCAGCGACTAATGGACAATTTTTTTTCGTCAGATTGGCCAGTGTATGGAAGTTTACGTGGATAACATGGTTGTGCAAAGCTGATTGGTGGAAGATCACGTAAAGGATCTTGCAAAAGTGTTAGGTCAAGTGTGCAAATATGAGATGCGTCTCAATCCGGTAAAGTGTACATTTGGGGTGCTGGCTGGAAAAATTCTAGATTTTATGCTGACGGTCAGGGGAATAGAATTGAATCCGGACAAGTGCAAAGTGGTACTTGAAATGAGGAGGTTCAGCGCCTGGTGGGACGTTTGACTTCATTGTCTCGTTTTATCCCTAAACTGGCCGAACGGATAAAACCAATAGTAAGAATCATGAAGAAGAGTGCGGAGACCAATTGGGATGATCAGTGCGAACAAGCCTTTAACGAGGTGAAAGGTATACTGGCCAACCCACCAGTTATGGGACGACCTGATCCTAGTCATGACTTGTAGTTGTTCTTGGTGGTTTCCGAAGAAACGATTAGTGTAGCCTTTAAACAAGAAGACCCCGAGCTTAAACTTGTGTACTTCATCAACAAGACGTTGCAAGATGCTGAGACGAGATATAAGCAAGTGGAGAAGATTGTTTTAGCTTTTGTAATAGTCGCACGACGTTTAAGGCCCTACTTTCAAGGCCATCAGGTAGTGGTGAGAACTAACCATCCACTTGCTAAAATTCTGCGCAAACTGGATATGGCAGGGAGAATAGTAGGTTAGTCAGTAGAATTGTCCGAGTTTGGGTTGCGTTTCGAGTCGTGCGGGTCAGTACGGTATGACCGAACGATTGGAATCCAGGGCCGATTGGTCTAGCTACAGTAAGCGTTAATCAACCAGGTCAAGTGGTTTTATCAATAATAGGCCGAAGTTGGGCCATCATTTAAGTTATTGGGCCAAAGGTCCAGTAGAAGATAAAATAATCAAAGGATAAATCAAGATTATCTAATTAAAGATATTGATAAATAGGTTACAAACAACCAACCATATTTTTAGGTAAGTCTGTTTATATTTTATTGGGCTTATGTCAGTTTAAGGTCAATGAGACAACTTATAAATAAAGAGTCAGGACCACAAGCCAGGTACGCTTTGCTCACATTCCACTACTCTCAAATACTCAAACAATGTTAACTATTCACAGAGTATTCAATCAAGAGCCAAAGCTCTTCAACAACACGCCTAACTTGGGCATTAGAGTGCCTTTTGTAGGTACCTCCCCCCTCTGACAAGAAGGAGACCGAGCGGATCGCGCTAATACCAAACGGTTGATAGCACGAGACCGAACGGTCGTAAAGGAGCAAGTGACCCAGATTGAGGGAAGATAGGAGATTCAGGTGTTCTAGGTGACCAAGAGCAAGGAAGACTTGGCGGAACAAGTTAGTCTCTCGGTCCTATAAATCCCTACAGAAACAATATATATATATATATATATATATATATATATATATACTATACTGAAATATACCAATCGGAGTTAATGATCATTCATGGAAAGTTACCAGGTATTAATGAGTCAGATTGCCTTATGCTTGATAATGTTAATTCTTACCATTATCTAAGCATCAATTTAGTAGCAAAATCAACTCCTTTCTAGCTTGTAACTTGTCACATCCCAAAAATATAGCACACCACTATATACAGGTGTCCACATTTAATAATATGATAGAACAATTACTATAATACGAACGTCAAACTTACAGTTATTACAAAATAACCATTCAATTTTTTCGTTTAACTTTGCAAGAGTTTCCTATACTACTACCGAACGTTCAACATATAACCGAACGGTTATATTTATAGAACAAAAATGGTGAACGTTCGGTTCACCAAAACTATATATACTATACGACTGAACGGTCATAAACCTTCACAAAAACACAACCCACATAAAAAAAATCATATTATTTAATTAAATCATCTAATCTAATGTAATGTTTCAGCACAGGCAAGTGTGTAATCCTCTAGTGTTTCAAGGGTTTTCATTCACGGAAAAAGAAAAAAAAATGGAAAACAAAACCGACAACTAAGATATTAGTATGATAAATAACCTCCATTAAATACTAAGAAGGAATTAAATATAAAATGAATTAAAATTAAAATTTGTAAAAGTATTTATCTACCTAAGAATATAGAGGTTGTAAAGAGGTATAAATTTCAAAAATTTATGATCTCAACTTTGGTCAGTTGAGAGTTCTGAAGTAAGTACTTCATCAAAACTTCTGTCTGTTTTCAACCTTCAATGTCTGTAGACTAACAAAGGGCGGGAGTAGATATCATCTTCTGGCACAACCTACACAATCAGAGCAAACATTTAATGGATACTGTGATTATGTTAAAAAAATTGACGTAAGAATGCAAACAAGGGGAGAAGAAAACACAGAACAAAAGTAACTCACGCATATAAATGCTTCAATGTTGGCTTCTTCAAGAAGTGCAAGATCACAAGTGGATGAGACCTCGTGCAAGGTTATCCAACTTCTGATAGCTAGATGGGTGAGATTCGGAGTAGAAAGCACAATCTTGTACTTCACTTCGGTGTACCTTTTCATGGTCAAACGAGAAAGGTTGGGATTTGATATGCTGAGGACTTTGTCAGGGTTACTCAAAGAACACCCCAGAAGGACCAAACTGTTCAACAAGAAACAGGATGAAAAGGGTTCAGCGCACTCATCACTGTCCCTTGCGGTGAACGAGACATTAGTGAGACTCAAGGTTTTGAGCGCAGGTAGTTCTAGAGATTGTGGAAGTTTAAAGATAATACAATTTGAAAAAACGAGAGTGAAAGATGTGAGAGAGGGTGAAGAAAAGATGATAGGTATGGAATAATAAACAAATTTTGTAGATAGGTGATAGAGATAAATTCTCAAATGAGCGACATAATGCAGAAGAGGAATGAAAAGGTTGAGAAGCTCTTGTGGTGCGACGCATGCCTCGAAATCAAGACGATGCAAACGAATGTAAGTGTCTCTATGGGAGACAACGTGGTGGACAAACTGGTTGTAGTTGACTTGGTTTTTGAAATCGCCGCGTCTAAAAGAGAGAGTGGTGAGAGATTTCCAATGGTTGTTCCATACTTTCGATAAGAGAGAGGTTTGAACTGCCGTAGCTGTGTCCACAAAATGGATAATGTGAACAAGAACATAGTCGGGCAACGCACTGATCAAGTCTTTCTCATCTTCTCTCTCTTTCTCACAATTCTGGTTCTTCTTGGTTTCTGTCTTCAACTCTACCATGCTTTCTTTCTCTTCTATGGTTGAAAGGAAAAGAAGTGTTAGATTCGTGCAATACCTAATATGTATACCATTTTTCTTTTCGTAATAGATAATTGAGAATATTAAGGTAGTTGAAAAGAAGAAAAAAAAAATACTTTCATATACAAATTTTTTCAAATATTTGATATCGTTCTTTACCTTTTATTTGTTTTTCTACAAAAGTTTGTTTTTTAAAGGATACTTTCAAATACAAATTTTTTCAAACATTTGATATTGTTCTTCTTTACCTTTTATTTTTTTTTTCTACAAAAGATTGTTTTTTTATACCCATGTAATGTTTGTTAAATAAATATAATGTGTATTGAATGATGTTAATATATTATTTAGAAAATATCTTTTAAGTTTTAAAATATAATTTAATTTTTTAAAAAGAAAACATTTTTATCAATACTTAAATTTTTAATACAAATAATTATAGCAAATACTTTTTAATATAAAAATATAATGTTGTCATTTATATCAATTCATATTATTTTATTCGTTTTTCTTTCTTATAAATTTATAGCATACGAATAATTGATAGTGGTGATATTAAATATGAAATACTATTAGATTAAACTAATAGGTAATAGTTAAAAAGTACTTTTTTATAAGAAATGTAGTTTTTAAACTTTCTCTACCGAATATTCTTCTTCTTTATATTTTAAATTTCTACTTTTTGTATAAATATAGAAATAGAAAATATAGTTAAATTTTAAATACATCAAAATAATAAATATAATTATATTTATAATTAAGATGATTTGATATTTATAATAATATTTATTAGCTTCTAAAATAAACATAAATTAAAAATTAATTAGTATCTTATGCTTATTTAAATATTTATTGTTATTATTCGGTGGACTTTATTTTCATTGTTTGCAATTAATAATTTTAAATATGTTTATTTTTAAACGTGTTTTATGAATATTTTCAGTTAGTATATTTTTATTAAAAATATTTTAATTGATATATCAATTCATTTTAAACACATAATGTTTTTCCCTTTAGTTTAGGACTGATTTTAGGTTTCTTTTAATATTTTTGACCTTTATTGTCTTGTTTTAGGTTGTGTTCATATTAGATTTTGTTTTAGTCTTTAATTAGTAGTTATTTTAGTTTCTTGTCCTGTTGCAGCTGTAAATAAATTGCTTAATTAGCATTTGGCTGTTTTTAAACTCTTTTCATTTTTTAGGTTCTGTTTTAGTCTTTACTTAGAATTCCCTTTAGGTTTTTCTTGTTTTAGTTTCTTCTTTCTTTACATTTCTGTTTTGATTGTTTAGGTTTTGGTTTAGGTTCATTGCTTTAGGTATCTTGTTGCTTCTCGCTTTTGCTTATTTCTTTTCCCTTTTAATGTTTCTTTTTGCATAGAAGTGTTAGTTAGGAGCTGTTGTAGGTCTTAGTTGAGTCTATTCTACTTTGTTTTGAGTTCTTTTTTTTACATAATATTTTGTTTTAGTTGTTAGGGTTGTACATGGGTTTAGGTAATTCTGTTAGGCATTTTTATAAGCTTTTAGGTTTTGTTTCAAGCTTTTCTTCATTACTTGCTTATTTCACTCATTTCTTAGCTTAATTTCCTTATATTAGAATTGTCTAAGAGTAGACTTAGCTTTGGATTTAGGCATAGCTCTAGCATTAATTTTTTCAGCTTTAGTTCATTTCAGTTAAGAAAATTTTTGCATAGAATGAGTAGCAAGTCAGTTTTAGCAATTTCTGAACCTGGAGAGATTTTGGGCTCAATTTTTGTCTTTCTTGTGTGATTTCATGCATGTTTGACTTTTAATTCTGATTCTGCATTGATTCTATGTGATAAGCTTGCTCTTAGTAGATTTTATACATGATTTAGGCATTCTTTCTTTCCATTCATTGTCAAATTACTTACTCATTTCAGTTTTATCCATTGTATCTTTCTTTTTTAGCCGTAGCCTATTTTTCTTTGTTTCCATTCATTATAAGCCTTTTTCCCCATCATTACTCAACCTGTAGAAATATGTGAGAGGAAGTGAGGATTTAGTGAGTGCAAAAGAGAAAAAAAAGGTTATTTGTGAAAAAGAAAAAAAAATGAAAAAATGAGTTGAACAAATCTGGTTGTGTGAAAAAGAAAAGAGCAAGTCTGGAAAAAAAGAGAAAAATGCAAAAGAATTGAAAGATAAGACCTGACAAAATTGAAAACTAGAGAGAAAGAAAAAAAAAATTGGACTGGCCAAAAGCTAAACAAAGAGTGCACTAGGATCTTTACTCTTCTTCACACACTAGTGCAGTCAGGGGAAACGACAACGGTTAATAGGCAGCGGTTCCTGAACCGAGGCATATTCAGGCGATGCAAAAAGTCTACCACTTTTGGCCTCGGGTGAAAATTGAGGCATAAAAGGCTCGGATACTGCCTCGATTCATCCTTAACCGAAGCAATAAATGTTTTGATTTTTTTTAATTTTTTTTTCGTAAGACTTTATGCATCGATTCCTTCTGAACCGAGGCAGTATGTCCTTCTCTACTGCCTCGGTTGTAACCTTAACCAAGACAGTAGAGTCTATTTTTGTTTTTTTTTCATCTGCTAGCCTTTCTGCATCAGGTGTGACCATAACCGAGGCCATAGGGTGCTTTTCTACCTCGGTTATGACCTCAACCGAGGCATATACCCTGTTTTTTTTTCTTAAAATGAGGTCTGTTTCTGCTACATTCTCAACTACAGAAACATACCTGAATATATATTTACAACCATAACAGTCCAGAATAATCCAGAAACGTATATTATGAATGAAAATTATATTAAAACATAAATAAATTCAATGGAATCATAAATCAACTTCTTAGAAGCATAAATCAATACAATGTAATCATAAATCAAGTTTGAAGCATAAATCAATGCAATGTACAAAGTTAAACTAATAATAATGAAGAAAAGCATAAAACAACTTAGAAACATAAACTTAGAACTTACTATATCCTTATATCTACTACATACTATTATATAATTGAACTACATATTTAGCCAATGTTTTCCTCACGAGTTGAAGCGACTTCTCTGGAATTGGAGCAGTCCAATTGAATCTCTACATAAAACACAATGATTTCAATTAGTGTATATGAAATCTAAACTATAGAGAAAATAAAATTGAAACCTAAATATTACAGTTTGTCATCCACTAGTGTAATGTGCACGAATAATGGTCATCATCCAAAACATGACGTAGTAACCACATTCATATGACCCCGTTTATCTATTACACTACAATATATAATCATAATTATAAAATGTTAAGTAACATCATTTGAATGGAACCAAATGTAACAAAATATGGAATAAAATAACAAACATTAAGGGCAACCCATGCAAGCTTTTTAGCTGTAGCAGTAGATCTCCCAAATAACATCATATGTGTTGCAAGGGAACTATTAAAAAAATTGCTTTAGTATACATTTATATAACAAAGAAAGTTGAAACATAGAGGTTCTTACCAATCTACTGCATTTCTAAGAGGGCTGGGAGAAGACTTGTGCAATGAACAAAACTAGACAGCAGTGTTCTCCGGTATGGAGATCACAAGTAGCTGTCAATGACACCTGAAATTGGTAATAACTTAATTGTCATATACCAAAATTAATAAATGAAACTTTAAAGTTAACAAACTTCACTTACCCAAGTATATAAGGGAGAAAATGTATCTCCTTCCCCATTCCAAAGCAGGTGGTGATGTATGTTTGGATATCATCAAATTTATTTCTTTCATGAGTCATAGAGGGGTCAATGAACCCATATACATCGTTCAACCCCTTCTTGTTACTGACATCAAACATATACCTGAAATGAACACATGATGTGATATAAGTAACTTGATAAAAAATAATTATATAAAAAAATTGTCATAAACTTACTTCATCCACAGTTGAATGAGTGTAATATTAATTTCTTCTCTCCCCGACGCAAGCTCCCTAACATCTTGATGATGCAAGTACAATGGGATCTGAGCTTCTATTCCAAATGTAGTAGAATCCCAGTGTACATTCATCGGCGCATCTGAAATGAAATTAGCAAGCTCGTCTAACGCATCAAGAGGGTCGTCCTTAGATAAACGAGTCTTCTTCGGTGTAGTACTTCCCTCTTGACCTATCTACTGTTACATGAAAAAATGGTTATGTTATAACGTCAATTAGAAGTAAATATTAAAATTACGAAGTATATAGTATGAGTGTTTACCGGGGGATTAGATACATCACCAACCAAATGAAGAAATAGTAAAGAAATCAAATCTGTTTAAAAGAAAAAAAAATGAAGAAATAAAATGTAATTTGAAATAAAAGAAAAGAAATGAGAATAGAACTCTAAACTACCTAAACAAAAACAGAAATTAAACTACTATAAGAATTACATGCAACTAAAATGACCTAAAACTAAAACTATAAACAAGCAACTCAAATTGGAAATTTAAAAGCTAAACAAATCCTAAAAGCTAAATGAATATGCTCATGTATGAAGTAACTGAACTTAAATGTTGCAGACACATATGTACAATCTAAGGTAAAGAAAAGTCAACAAGAAACACCTAGAACTAATCATCAAAAGCAAAGAATCAGGGAAGAAACTCATGAATCAGAACCAACACTAGTCTAAGCACTTGTAAAAATAATAACCTACACTATCAACATCATTATTATCATTCACAAATTGAACTTTCTCAAACAGAAACTAAAGGAAAATAAGTCCTAAATCCATAACATTTCCAAATAACAGTAAAATAAACTATGAAGAAAAAGTGCCTAGATTCTAATCAAAAGCAAAATAACACTAAAAAACATAATTGATTTCATAGGTGAAATGCACATTAGAGTGAATAAAAGAATGCTTAGAGTTCTCAGGAAGACATCCTGTTAAGTGAATCCCAATCCAGGGTATTCAGGTTCATATTTCATAACCTTGAAATGACTCTTTCTACTAATTTGTCCAACCAATGTTCATTTGCCTATTCATCAATCTAAAT